GACTTTTTACTCCCTCCACATACCCTTGCAATAAAACCTTTTGCAGGCAAACGATCGACCCCCTTCCCGGGCCTTGCGAAACGCAAGGCGCGCTCAGGTGTCTTCCCAGAGGAAAGCGAACCCGCGTTCACCGCCTCGGGGCCACGACGTTCAGGGCAGGAAACGCGCTACCTTTCTCGGCTCCCGCTCAGCTCCCGAACGCGGAAAGGCTGCTGTGAAGAAGGACGCAGACCGCGGCCAGGAGGCACCTGACTTGACCGGCACGCCTTTCCCACTTCCAAGCAGGTGGTCCCCCAGCGCGGCAGCAGAGGTACCCCGGAGCAGTTTCACCGCCGGCGAAGGCCTGGTGGCAACTCCAGGAAGGAAGGAAGGAAGGAAAGCTCCGAGCGCGGCTGGTCGCCCGCCCGGCGAGCGCAAGAGCCCCTCGGGAGCGGCGAGCGGTGGTGCCTCCCACCTCCGAGGGCAGCCGGGGCTTCCTAGGCACGGGGCGGCAGGGAACGCTCCGCTCTTGCGGACGGAGGGCGCTCGTGTGAGTCTGCGGCTTCAGTCTTCACGCTGCCGGCTGCAGGGGGAGCAAATCAGCGAAGCAGCGCGGCGGGAGGGGAAAAATCATCTCAAAATAAGCCAGCCAAAAGCCGCGAAGGGGGGCGAGCTGCGGAGCGGGGTTGCGGGGCGCCGCTGCGCTCCAGCCCGCCTCTCCTGACGCTGCTGGCGCCGGGGATTCCCGCCGCCTCTTGCGGAGCGTGGTCCGGCTGGGCCGGTTTCACAACGCCCTCCTGGGAGCCTTCGCTTCGCAGAGGGCGAGGCCGCGCGTCCGGTCACGGGAAGGGGGCAGCTCCGACCCGGCCCACGGAGCACTTCTCCTGAGCAGTTCCCTATGAAAGCCGCGTCAGCTGCCCCAAAACCCAGAAGCGCACATCCCCAAGAACAGCCACGGGTCGCTGACGCGGGAGAGGAAGAGGAGGAGGAGTTGGAGGCGAGACTGGCAAAACGAGGGTTAGGGGAGAGTGTCCGTCCCGATCAGTTAGTGGGCTTAGTTTTACTTTAAGTGAAAGGCGAGGACTCGGCGCTGGGTGGGTTGGGTCTTCGAGGAAGTACCAGGTCCAGGAAGTTGCCAATGGGCTTTCCTGCCTCCAGGCGTTCAGTCTTGGGGTTAAGAGAGGGGTGTGGGCTGAGCCCCGAATTCAGAAGCTGCCTAGGGCAAGTTGATACATCCTGAGCACGTTCCCTAATCTCAGACACATACCCCAACCTGCAGTACGGGAATACCACTCGCCTATTCCGCAACCATAATGTGTGCAAACGACTCGGGACACCTGAAAGACAGACAGAAAGGCCAAGGGCTCTTACAAGCACCCAGTGGATGCTGTCAACCCTCCAGATGTGTTGGCTACAACGTCCAGGCAATACATGGTGGCTGGTGATTCTGAGAGTTGTGATCTCATAACTGAGTGTCAAGATAGAGAAGACTGTTTTAAAATCAGCTTGGCAGCATCTGCTCGGTACTTATAACAGCATTTGGCCATTATGAAGTTGCTTGCTTTGTAGGCTTTACGGTGCTCCAGCATGTTCCAAGTTTGCACAGCTTCACAGCACAAGTTAAATCCAAACCATGGGCTGCAATAGGTCTCTTGGATTTTCCAGGGACACGGCCAGAGTGTGGGAGGAAGGCCGAGTTCCAGCAACCGAGGCACTGAGCCAAAACATTGAAATCATTAACTGGGGACTTGCACAAATTCACATTCTCACATAGTTCATTCTGGCAGATTACAAAACAGTCATTTGTGAGGCCTGGTAGGCAGATAGAGCGGTGTATTTTTGAAAAGTTGTCATGGATTTGGACACACAGCCAGACAAGGAAACATGCCGCTTCAGCCATGTGCGCAGTGATGTACATAAACACGTACGGTATATGGAAGTTGATGCAGGAACTGAGTCACGTGGAGAAGCGCAGAGATCTCCAAAGAGAATCACCGTTATCTGTAAACAAATAGGGGTATGCAAAAACTGTGTGTGTGCAAAGATGTGCAGGGGCAAAACCACAGGGTTAGGAAAAAGCAAACCCAAGCCGAAAAGAAGCCCAACAGCCTGTCTTGGAAATGTAGTCCTAAGAGCAGGGGTGTCTGTCGGGTGTGACAAAAAAGTCAAGATGGCAGCCACAATGCACATAACATGCAATACACATAAAAAGTCAGTGGTGCATTGAGCTCACCATGATTGCCTCCAACTTGACTTCAGCAGAAACCCCTGCCTAAGAGAGCCTCGTATGTAGCAAGGTGGTGCGCCCATTTGATATCTAAGGCCTGTTCATCTGTTTGGTAAAGTGAGGGCTGCAATGAGTAGGATGGAGGTGGGCAGTCAGGATGACTGCATCATGCACAACTTGGAATTTTTTGTTTATTTTAAAGTCAATTTGAAAGGGGTTGCCCAGTTTTCATGTCTTTTTCAGCCCCAAATGTTGGAAACTGCGTTGCTAATGTTCAGCAGTTCTGCTGCTGGATTTTTGGAGGGCTTCAAGGGCTATGAAAAAGGCTGGGGATAGAGTCACAGATAGTCCTGGATTGCCTGTCCTGATATATGAAACCTTGAAGGCATGGGCATCAATTATGCAACCTTCCGTGGGCATCCGGCTAAGCGTGAGATCCAGTGTCTCTCTTGTACAAAAAAAAAGTATTTCTTTGTGCTAATAATAGGTAGGGTGTCTTGCCCTTACGTCTGGATACATTCCATCTGGATTGTAATCCAGGCTTTCAGACAAGCAGGAGGTAAAAATCAAGTGTCCCAGGCTGTTACACTGGCTGATTTCAAGGAATCTGTTCCCAGCATACAGCCACCATTCTGGCCTACTTGTCTGTTTTCACCCACCCAAAGTCTTCCACTTTGCTGTCCCAGCTGCACAGTCAGCCAGATTGTGTGCATGGAACAAATGAACCAATGGAACAGGAATGGCCCAAGAGGATTGTCTAGGCTCTTGCACAAGGCTTGTATTCTCTCCCTTCAGTCCTCAATCAGTTGATCCCTGGCCTTAGAATGGAGCGAGGGAGGAGGAAAGGGATGGGACTATCCCCATGAAATATCCATGAGGAACTGAGACTATATTCAGGCTATACTGCTGTCTGCTCTTGGCAAAATTTCATAGATGCCTCACGTATGATCTTCAAATATAACTCGTCTCCACAAGTTTTGGAAAGCTTATATAAACTACCAAGACAGCCTTCCGTTGCATCGATAGCGTCAGTTAAAGAGCTAGCAGGGAATTGAGACCTGAATAGTGAATTTCAACCATTTGTTCCTAGACAGTTCAAGCCTACAGCTGAGCAACCTGGTTTTACAAGTTGTTGCAGAGATTATAGAGATAATGGGAAGTGCTTTGAGCATTGACAAACAACAATTCCATGAGCAAAGGGACTTGAACATTTTATTACTGGATTGGCTAAGTGTTCAGAAGCATAGGAGAAAGTGACAAAACTAAGGTGCAAGTTAAACAGCATATAAGTTGTCAGAATGCACCGGTGAATTTGTGACTGAGAAGAAATTTTGAAGCAAAGACACCCTGGCTCACTGTTCTAGCCTGACAGTAAAACCAGGTGTTGCGCATAGCTCTGCGTAAACTTTCTGAATGTATATTTTTTAAAACCAACTTTGGAAGTTTAAAAGAGGAGGAAGGGTTATTCTGGAGCCCTTTTCTTTCCACCCAAGCTCCTTCTCCATTTCTCTCTGTATGTGCATTGTTTGGGAGGAGGAGAGAGAACCATCAAGGGGCTAGGAGCAGTTTTGAGCCTAAAAATATTCAAAGGGAAAAGTGTTATGTTTCCATACCTGCATATTCTTTCATTCTCCTGAGGCTAATTTTCATTAAAAACAAACAGTATAAGAAAGTTAGTGAGTTTTCCCTTGGCCATCTCTTGTTTGGTCCTTTGCTATAGTTTCCTACATATATAATAATAGATAAAGCTAGAAATCCAAGGGTGGAAACCTCAAAAGGAGCTGGCCACATTTTAAAGTTTATGCCAGAAACTTTTGGAATTTCATCTATACGTTCTAGTGCATGAAAAAAAAAACGAAGTTGGTATTTTTAAAGGGGCCATTACAACCTCATTAGAACCTCATTGCAACAATTTAAAATGCATTATTTACTGGAAAAGGCAAGAATTCCTGCCGCTCTGCATACATGAACAAGGCTTTGGGAACCATTTTCTGAGGGACTTTGCTAGTTAAACCATGCCCTATCCTCATCAAACTAGAAGCTAATTTAACATCATTTGTGTTACAGATGATTAAGGAACTGGATGTTAATACTGGCACAAGTTATGGTTAACTAAATCTATTATGATCTGGATTCTGAAAGCAAGACTTTGGGAATGACATAACTTTGAAAAACAGCACTTTCGCATCAGCATCACATCTAAGCTACTTATCTGAGCCACAAACCTAAGTTCCATTCTTCATTAAGTCAGTAATAGTA